AATACATAGCCACTACCGGTTAATAATTCATTGTACTGGAACAAAATATTAACTTGATCTATAACTTGTCATGGTGTAAACTATAGAACAAATATCAAGTCAATATATTCAAGCATGACGAGAAAAAAAATGTGGAAAACTGATTATTAAGTAAATTTTTATTAAGTCCAGGGACCATTACTCTGCACAAAATCACCAAACCGGAACAAAACTCGAAACTTGAGCAATTACTTGTCATGATAAAACTATATACCAATTATTAAAGCAATATCTTCTAGCATGACAACAACAAAAAATTGAGGAAAACTGATAATGTGTGTGAATTTATAGAATATTAAGTCCAAGGACCAAAACTCAGCACAAAAATCAGCAGACTGGAACAAAATATGAACTTGATATGTAACTTACCATGATAAAACTATGTACAAATTATCAAATCAATATCTTTAAGCAATAACAAACAAAAAAAATAATTGCGGAAAACTGATTATTTGGGGGAATTTTCTTAGTCCAAGGACCATAACTTTGAACAAAATCATTAGGCTGGAATACAATTCGAACTTGATCTGTAACTTGTCATGATAAAACTATATTCCAATTATCAAATCGATATCTTCAAGTAAGACGAACAAATATGCGGAAAACTGATTATTTGAGTGCATTTTCTCAGTCCAAGGACCATAACTTTGCACAGAATCATCATACTGGAACGCAATTCGAACTTGGTCTGTAACTTATCATGATAAAACTATATACAATTTATCAAATCAATATATTCAAGCATGACGAAAACATGTGCAGACAACTGATTATTTTAATGAATTCTCTCAGTCCAAGGACCATAGTTTGCACAAAATCATCAGACCGGAACACAATTCGAACCTGATCTGTAACTTGTCACGATAAAACTATATACCAATTATCAAATCAACGTCTTCAAGTATGACGAAAAAATGTGCGGAAAACTAATTATTTGTGTGTATTTGACCACAACTCTGCACAAAATCATCAGACCGGAACAACATTCATACTTGGTCAGTAACTTGTCATGATAAAACAATACACCAAATATCAAACCGATATCTTCAAGCACGAATACAAAAATGTAGAAGACTGATTTGCCGGATTGACAGGTGGACAGACAGACAGACGAACATAGTGAGAACCTTAAGTCCCCCTAAACTCAATCGGTAGGGGACTTATAACAAAGCAATTGACCAGTGACAGGTCTAAACTTGTAAACAGTAAGTTATTTCGTTTAAGCAAAAATAGGATAAGCATCTCTAGGCCGCTCATCAATAACGTGTGTGGTTCCTTCAAAGCACTGGTCAGTCTTAGATAAAATTAAATGGAGTTCAATAATATATATATTTTTCTTGATACCTGGCGAGATGACAATATTATTTGTAATTTAGTTCATTTGTTAGAATAATTTTTTTTTATTAGTATTAATCATTAGCGTAGAGATCGTTTGTACACTATTTTCGATTGCAAGTTACTTTTACAAACTTGATCACCAAAAGTTTTAATCTTTGAAAAGATTATCGTCTGCAAATCGTTGACATGAACTTACAATCTCAGAGAGTTAACGGTTTCCTTACATTTACTATATATCATTTCTAAGGTCAAGAAAAGTTCAAATCGTAATCGGCATCGCAGCTTGTAGATACATTACGTTAGGAATTTATTATCTCAAACTGTAACGTATCTAATTAGAAAGATTTTGTATTCGAAAGAGAAACATCGAAATGTGTGTTAAATAATGTGAACAGTTGTACAAGGACTATCAAGTATATATTGTAAACATTAAACGTAGATAACATACTATTCATTTTAATGACAGCCAAATCGATTGAGGATATAATAATACTGCTATATTAACATAGTTGTCGAATGCCTAGTCCCAAACCGTTGAACTTTATATCGAGCTTAATTCCACTGCAAAAGTATCTCAGCAACAATATATTTATACTCAAGTTCAATTTCTTTATTTGTTATTTTTGTATGAGGCAAAACTGGTTTAATAAAAAGTTTCCCCTGTTCATATGACACTTTTTACTGATCATTATCAATTATAGAGTTGTTCCTAAGTAGAACAAAGATGACATACTCGCCCGTTTGATTTTTTTATTTTATTTTAAGTACTGACTAACATCTTAATCAAGACTAGGAGAGTAACTAGTTGTTTGCGTGAGATTTGAATGATCTTTACCGATTGCATTACCTGGTCGATTTACTACATCAAAAGAACAACTATCCTCCTGAAGTTGGGGGATCGTTAGATGCTGGTACTGAACCTGGTTAAAGTTGTGTTTCCTCTTGTCTAGATGCAGCTCCTTATGTTGCAGTGGCTTTCCATCTTTTTGATGACCTTCTTGTATTCATCTTAGTGCCAAACAACTATAAGATTAAATTGAACAACCAAAACAGAATATTGCTTTGTACTATAAATAAAGAATTTGTCAATTAGCGAACTTTAAAATTTCATTGACGCCTATAACCAACCAGTTTAACATTCATCTGTCAGGAATGAAATATTTGTGTTTACGTGAAGTGATACCGTTGCACAAATGTCGGTCAGCTTCCGACAATAAATTATTCTGGGTTACACGAGCGAGGAGGCTGATTAAACAATCTGTACCGAATGGCGATGCTGTTAAAAATAGCGCAAGTGAGGTGATATATGCTAATTTATATTATAAAATCGGTCAAAGTAATTAAACGGACACAGAGTTAATTTAACAGAATACTAGACGATATTTAAAACACATGTACTATATATAACTATCTATAATGATTATAATAACATCTAGAATGATGATAATAACATCTAGAATGATGATAATAACATCTAGAATGATGATAATAACATCTAGAATGATAGTAATAACCTGAGGTAGATAATAAGACAGCTAACAAATTGTTGCGATTGCATATATAATGATGCTTACAGTTAAGGTTATGGTGATGCATACATGAAGAGATAAAAAATGATTATGTTGAACATGCGTAACCTTCAATTAGCATTAAGCTGTGACCGCCGGAGTGAACTGTGCAGATCGGTGTCAAGCGTTGAAATGAAATGGAATAAAACGTGTATATCTCTATGTAACAGTACATAAAAAAAAATTAATGGCTCAATTCTTATACATAAACACCGATCGCTACCTCCGGATAGTAAAAGTATTATAACATGTAAAAATAAGCAAAATAAGCAATAAATTGAAATTAATTTGTTATAAAACACTGATATTCTATTAGATATCCCACAATTGTTGCGGGAGACTAACTCTAATTATACCACCTGAGTTCCAATTGTAGAAAAGTGATACCAAAACCTGCACAATGTGGCTCCTATATCTTTTTAATCACCAAAATAATTTTCTTTAAATCTTTAAATCACCAAATAATATTCCGTCTGTTTCTTTCAAATGTCGGAATGAAAAGATCGCGTGCGCAGTCATATTGCGCATTGACAAACATACATCTGATAGCCTACATTTAATAGAGATGAAACAGCTAATAACACAAGTAATCTATGCTTACACTAATAACCGAATTTATGCTGAATCATAAATTCTATTATGTCGAGTAATGTCATTTTATTGGAAATCTCTTATATGCAATTAAAGGTATGTTGAATTTTTAAGTACAAGTAAGAATAAGGTATAGTTTTGCTATGAAATTACTGCCACGTTATTTGAACATAAAAAATAGATATAAATGCTTGAAATTGCTCAGTTTAACATAGAAAGCAATGGGACTATGAATTAGAGGTTTTTATCCTTATCCGTCATCGTAAATATCGACAAGAATTGTTGATATATCTTTCCGTTGTTTTCTTTCTGATCTTTTTTTCCCTTGTTTTTATCTTTGAACTTTAATCTAATTTAGTATCTTCTCTCTCTTTCCTCTATCTCTCGTTCTCTCTCTTTACACAATATGGAGTTTCTTAATTTCTGCCTTTTTTAACTTGATATCATTGGCTTTCAAATATTTTAGTTTGAGCTTTCCTGATGAAGGTAAATCCAGAAATCTATATTAATCAATTTCGGAAATACTTTTGGTTTATCATAAAATACCTTAGTAACATTTATGAGAAGCCAAAGAGGAACAAAAATACGGAAAACTGTTCTTTCATATTGCGAAAAATGAGTAGCCAGTCACATAACTATTCATCTGACCAAAGTAAACAACATTATATTGATTGACTTTGTCTACAATTTTTTTTTACCAATTGATGGTAGATAAATGTGTTGTTTTTTACAGATCTAATTGACATAGTGTGTTAATATGTTGCTGTTTCCTTTACACAAATCAACATCTTTTTCCGTCACTGATGTATGGTAGGAGGTAGTTAACCGACAATAAACATTAATAAAATAACTAAACTAAGTTACGAATAACATTCATTGGAAAAACGTAAAAGGCATGAAATTGTTGTGGATAATAGAGGCGGGAATCTTTATTACTGTTTCTGAATAATTTGTGATTTTGTTCTTGTCTATTTTTTCCCTAAAATATTACTGAATGTTCGTTTCTCATATGGACTATATTTTTGCGGTATAAGCAATCATCACAATATGTTATTAAAAAATGGTAATCTATTCATAGTGCCGACTTGTATGGAATAAACCCGAATCAAGCTTCTCTTTCAATGTTGTTCAAATGCATTTATCCCAAAGTATATTTTTCAAATAGTATTAACATAAAAAGGACATGAAGGAAATGGCGCAGGAAAATTGTTTAAAGCATTCACAGATTTTCATCATATACGCACTAATTTGTTTTACTAAGAATTTCGTAATAAATATAATCGAATGTATTCAATATTTACTGGCATAAACTCAGAGGTACTTTGTGAATGCTTGCATTGGTTTCTGGATTATTGTTATTGAATATCGGTAAACAACTGTTTGCTCTCAATCTTCATATTTACCGCAAGTGAATATTCCAACATATTTTCAGTACTAGCAATATATATATAGCAAATATTTAACCTGAAATATTTCTGCCCGAGTCATATTCAGACTGACTGATTGCTTCAGAATCTGTGCCACTAGATTTTAGAGAACAATCCTTGTCGTTTGAAAAAAGACGAAAATCCGATTGTACATGTTCGTTGTCATTGATGCAACTTTTTTGGCTCATCTGCAAAATAAAATGATGTGCATTATTTGCATTCGTTTTAGTGTGATTGATGTTTTTACATATGCTTTTTATTGACTTGCTCACAATGTTGCACAATATATGTATGTCTGTACAATATTGCAGGCCCCAACTATACAACAAGACGAAAATAAATTTAACAGTGACTATCAAATATTTGAAAGCAATTCGTTTTGTAATAAATGTCCTAAATGACAAAAACATTACAAATGCTATTGTGAATAATTTGATGTAGGATACTTTTATAGTAAATATTTGCACAAAAGCTTTTAATCATAATCTTATCTATACGAACGAGTTTCATAGAGATAATATGCAATAAAGAGAAGTGGTTTGAATGCCAATGATATTTCTTATTTCCTCTAAGTACAAACAAATGTATAATACGATATTCAACGATATTCCATCTTGTACAGTTTAATGATAATAAAACCATTTTTTACTTTCCTCATCTAACTTAAATTTTAATTGTCAAGTGTATTCGTTAATTTGATTTAAGTGTGTAGATTTCTAATTATCTTGTTCGGATTTTTACCTTGCTTTAAGGTAAGATAAATAACATGCTTTATGTAAAATTAATTGTGACATTTGTTAATTCCATAAATTTGTGTTTGATTTAAATATATTAGGCAAGTAAATAAGATACATTTATACATGTTTCCATTTCAGAATTTGTGCAATACCTATTTTTGATTTTACGAACTAATACTTGATAACACATGGATTATTTTATTATTTTTTGATTGGATTGTTTGATTTTACATATTGATTTGTCGATTTACTTCTTTGGTTTTTACACGTAGTAGGAGTTATAGATTGTAACTCGTATACTTGTTAGGAACATGTCGAAACCAATATACTCTTTGTCTGTTATGTTATAGGCTATGACTACATCTCTTAATTTGATATGTTTTTTCAAATAAATTTGTGATGAAATTCGATTGATTCCTCAAAATTCTTTTAAGAATTTATATTCAATGCAAAAGTGACAATATTAAAAATGTTTTGTTGATTCATTTTTCGATTTGTAGAGATATTGTCTATTTGGTGAAATTTAACTTTTCCAAGTTAACAGTTTATTCATCAGTTTTAAACTTTGACGTATACATTGAAACATTTTCATGAAAACTGAAATTTATGTGTAATTCTGTTTTACCTTGTTCACGCCCGTTCTATTAATGAAACAAAATAGATCTACTTCTTTTAGTCTGTCTTCTAGTTTAGAAAATGGGAATATTATTGTACAGGGAAGAGAAAGTCAAATGTTTTTTACTGTTGCAAAAGGAAAGAGACGTAGACTGTATGTACTTTAACAGATCAATGGAATGATTTGGTATCCATATTCGATTCACAACTCTCCTAGAGTAGATCGGTTCACAGTTACTCCAAAGCCCTGCTTTGATTGCTGATAAAATTTATGCTTATAGTTTGAAAATGAGTTTCATGGAACAATTGGCGGACCCAGCAACACAACGTTGTTTGTAAGGATACTAATGTTATGCTGGTATCTAGTACAGTTCAGAAAGATCCTAGTCTTCATCTTTGGTTGAATTCCAAAATATTTCCGTATAATCTACTATATAAAAAATAAGGAGATGTGGTATGATTGCCTATGAGACAATTATCCACCAAAGTTCAAATGAAATGGATGTTAACAATTATAGACGTGCGGCCTTCAACCATGAGAAAAAACCCATACCGTATAGTCGGCAATAAAAGGCTCAGACATGAAAAATATGAAACAATTCATTTGAGAACACTAACGGCCTATGTCTTGTTATTAACGTATATTGAATCCAAGGACATTTAGACTTAAGAACATTTTGATTTAGATGTAAATATTGAAAATTTTTACTACCTACTTTGAATAGATTTGTAGGAGTGAATAAATAATAAGTATTCATATTCTTCCCTTATAAGTTTACTTTATTACTGTTTACTCTTCATTCAAGAAATACATCAATGAAATACTTATTTTTCATTACTGTTTCAGAATATATCAAGCCGTTTGTTTAGCATTTTATTATTGTGGGGCCTTTTCTATCTAATTATGCGGTATGTTTTTTTTTCAACATAGTTGAAGACAGAACAGAATAGTTGCGCACATCAGCGTCCTGTGATCTCGGGATGCAAGTCAATGGCAGTCATATCACATCTCCTAATTTTTATATTGAACTCAATATATTGATGTATTACGTTTCTTCGAAAGGAATAGACGTTTTGGATTACAGTCACTGCATACGACAAGCTGCCGGCGTATTTAAGTATAGCAGGACACTAATTCAATAGATATACATTTCTGAAGATTCTAGCAAAATAAAAGAACTTATTTATATAGTCTATGTACATTTGTTTTATAACATTTAGCCATTCAAGTATATAAAACATATTCATCTCTTTTATTAAATTTGAAAAGTCAAAGACTTTAAATACAATTTAGTTCTTTCTAAAAACAAACAATTTACAAACACTTATTCATTTATTTCAAAATACAAATAAACATAATTTAAAGGGACTTGTTAGTTAAAATCGCTCCAATATATTTAATTCCAATATTTGTATACAAAAACAAATTTATATATTTACAAATCTAATGTGAACATGTGCAACTCCGTACTATTCCTGCAATTTGGTACGCCAGACGAGCGTTTCGTCTGCGTAAGACTTATCGGTGGTGCTAGAATCAAAACAGCAAAAAGCCAATCAAATACAATTTGAAGAGCGCTTATAACTTAAATTTCCGATTTTTTTTGCTAAATACAGCAAAGGCAACCTTCGCATTAGTTGAATCATAAGTGGATTTTTTAGAGACTCTCGTTAGTTTTTATATCAAACCGAGTCTTGAAATAAGAAAAAAAACTTACTTCTGTAACTCTCACGGGCTTTGAATCTGTGCTTATTCGTTTATAAACACGTCCAAAATCAAATTCAGACAAAATTGATTTCGGCAAATTATGGAAAGAGCTCTGTCTATTGTCGTGATTCAGCCCAGGTATGTTATTATCAAAACTGCAGTTATTTTCTTTATTTTTGCACAAATCTGAAATAAACAAATTTATGGCATAAGATAAGGAATATAGAAGACCAAGGTAAAAGAGAGGCAACAGGAACATTCACACTCATAAGTCCGAAATAAATTGACAGCACCATGACAAATAACGACCACAAGACAAACAACAGTTTACAAATACCAACATAGAAAACATAAGACTGAGCATCACAAACCCACCAAAAACCGAGGATGATCTCAGGTGATCCGGAAGAGTAAGCAGATCCTGCTCCACATTTGGCACCCTCCGGCTGGTTCATGTAAGGATACATCCAGTGATTCGGTCTTATTCGGTAGGTCACATTCGAGGAAAGGAGGATAGGATTGTGGTTACGACAATTGGAACATATCCGTCGTCATCTGTGAAACAGATATTACATAATGGTCAACCACTCGTAATAGCCTAAATCATTCCTTTGTGCTGCGATTATTGTCTTCAAAAACGCCCAACAAGTAAATCTTTCAGAAATGCACGAGGATTTTATTTGAAGATGTATTAAATAATAAACAGATATTGCGTAAAATTACTTTCTTTATGTCATAATGATCCAACATGAAATGATCGTACCGTTAATCTTGGTTTCTTAAATTTAAACTTTTTTTGTTTTCATGTTTAATATCTTGTATTATCTGCTGAATTTTTTTCCGATTTAAAATGTCATCAGGACCTCTGGATGTCTTTGAATTGTATTGTTGTCTCGTGTGCATATACACACATGTTGTTGAGTCACTTGCATAAAAGCAAATTAAGTAAGCAACCCAACAAATCAAAATTTTAATGCTGTATATCGCAGCAGTGAATGAAAAAAAAGAAAGTCTTACTATTTGTTTTCATATTTAACGCATTAATTTTCAAACACTTCTATTGATTAGTTAAAATATTTTTATGTTGAAGACATTTCAATAGAATAGGAATCAATACTTAATGTAATTGTGGAATAGGTTGCTTTTCCTAAAATTGTACATCTCATATTTCTCGAAGAATATTTTTTTTAACAATATAATAAAATATCTTCTGGTTATCTGTGGTTTTGGTTGCTGTCTCATTTACTTATTTATTTATGCATCACAAACGATGAAAGGTATTCTCGTTTCGCGTGTTGTGCGCATTAAGATAACAAACATTGATTATACATGTACAAACGTTTGTCCAAATGCATACAATAAAACATTTATTCTTTTCAAAAACAAACATCTGATGATTGCAAATCTATTATTTGGTCCATTATCGTTACCATCCATTAGTATTTGAATATGGTTCCTACAAAACATGATTTACCTGGTTTATCGCTACCCGAATTATTTGAGAAACTAGTATTTTCTAAATATGCAGGTTCTGGACTACTGGATTGACGATGAGACTCATCGTCTATTGAAAAAGATAGTTCTGCAGCTTGCAAATGTTTGTTCTCTTTGTTCGATCTTTGTTGGCTTCTCTGCAAAATATCAACGTTTTTGTTAATATCAAAATTAATAAAGGTTGACTTTATTCATTTAGATAATTCATATTTTATTCCCGTTTTTGTTGTCATATATCTCTCTGTTGCAAACCTAACATTTTGCTCTGGGCGTTCATGAGGAATACCGTACATTTTAATTTTGCGTACTCTCGAATGACAATTTGCTAAGCTATATTATTACCTAAAAGAAGTTGTCATGCAGTCCTTACATATAGAAGGACAGTAAGATGGGATTTATTACATTAGAACTATTCTTTTTTCACTGCCTGTTAATTGCCTAAAATTTTTGAGAGATTATGCACTTGACAAAGGATGAATAAATATGTTTTCTCCAATATACAGACTGGTAAGTATAATTTGTGATGTAGCTCTTTTCCATCTTTTTAAACAAGTAAGATCGGAACGTTTAAATGATGAAAAGAGGAAATTCCTTCCTGTTCAGTTTACCAATAAAGGAATTGATGCAATCAACATCAGCAACGTTCTACATTACAAGGAGGTAACATCTAAAATTCCACTTTATTTTCAAAATCAGTCTGTTCCTATTGTATCCTACAGTTACACCTAATCCATTGCACCTAAAGTATTTAACTATAAGCAAGCATTGCGGGACCTAGATTTAGAAAAATATCTAAGAAACCCTCTGACATGTGACTGTTCCCACTTGCCTTATATTTACAGCCCCTCAAGCCATGTTGTTACTGGGGATCTAAACATAATTCAACATGAACATCTCCGAAAGGTGATATCTCATGGTCCTTAGTTTAGAGAACCCCAACACATCAATTGGAACCATAATTTCAACATAATTATGGATTCCATTGAGAACTACGCCAGAGCAAAGGCAAAACGAAAAGAAGTTGAACTGGACACTTTGTCAGAATGGGTCAAAACAATCTGGTCTCTGATAAAACGTCGAATTCATAAGTTGAAAAACTGTGTGAATGATCGACCAAAGTCCGTTTTCAGAGACATAGAAGCAATGAAATGTCTATCATCTCTTCACGATAAGTATGTTGCTGTTCCTCCGGACAAAGCTTCAAATAATATTGTCTTCGTGTAAAATCGTACTACTACGAGTGTCTTGTAAAAGAATTAGGAATAAATGAGCACTCAGGTAATCCCACATACAAAAACATATCAATTGACAAGGATGAGATTTTGGCGAATCATAAGTCCTTCATGGCTTCAATGAACATTACATTGAACAGCAAATCGGAGGACTTACCTTGTATTGGATACCTAAGCTTCACAAAATTCCGTACAAACAACGGTACATTGCCGGCTCATCTGCATGTTCGACGAAGGAATTGTACATTAGACTGACAAAAATTCTGTCTGCAGTGAAAGAGGGTCTTCAGAAATACTGTGAAACTGTTTACTCGCGTAGTGGTAATAACAATATGTGGAGTCTAAAAAACTCTAAAGAACTTCTGGATAATTTTAAATCTCGATCTTTCTCTGAAATTAGGTCTATCAAAACTTTTAATTTTTCAAACCTGTATACCACCATTCCCCATGTGAAATTGAAAAATCGTCTAAAAGAAATAATCCACAATGCTTTTCAACATAAAAATGGAAGTATACACTATAAATTTATAACTTTGGGATACCATACGGCATATTTTGTTAATAGTGAACAAAAATTTAAAACATGATACACAGAGGAACAAGTGATCAGTATGCTGGAGTTTCTTTTTGACAACATATATGTTGAATTTGGAGGTAGACTTTTTCAACAAATTGTCGCCATTACAATGGGAACGAACTGTGCGCCTCTCCTTGCCGACCTCTTCTTATTTTCATATGAGTCGGAGTTCTTTCAGACACTTGTCAAAAACAAGAAGATAAAAAAAACCAGATAATTTAATTTCACATTCAGATATATTGATGATGTTCTTTCCATTAACAATCCAAACTTTTCTGATTGGGTTCAGTGACTGAGCAGAAAGTTGATGAACCAGGTTTATGTCAAAGAACGTCACTTCCTTTTTCTAAAAAAGTTCTTCGGAAGATACCAAGACCTTGTTGAAAAATATTCCGTATCAACTTCACAAATAATACACGATGGTCTTGAAGTGTATATTCTAGGTACTGACCTTGTTTACCATCTTAATTACGTTTTATAGTGTTCTTTTATTTGTCTTTGCAAATTATTACTTTTACTGTTTAGTCTATTTTTGGTAATATCCATTTGACGTGGCTCGGTACTTATACATCCTGTCATTGTGTTATTGCGATATGGTAATTTTTTTTACTCTTGTCTTTCGTTTTTGCTAATGTACTTTGTCTATATGCCTTTTTGTTTTTCTTTGTTGACATATTTGTTTGTTTTTATAGTGATTAAGATTTTAACACAATGTTGACTGCTGTACCCCTATTTTTGACATTTTTACCTATTATGTCTAATTGTTTTGTTCACACATTATTGCGAATATAATGGAACTTTATGCGGCTGTCATACAAGTGAGAGGTTTAGCTAGCTATAGAACCAGGTTTAATCCTCAATTTTCTACATAAGAAAATGCCTGTACCAAGTCAGGAATAAGACAGTTGTTATCCATTCGTTTGATGTGTTTGAGCTTTTGATTTTGCCATTTGATTAGGGACTTTCCGTTTTGAATTTTCCTCGGAGTTCGGTATTTTTGTTATTTTACTTTTATCTTAACATTAGGTAGAGAAAATGGTTATGCTCTTGTCAAGATTTAATATATTACTGTTTAGTCTTGGATAATACTATGGTTAGTTCGTCTGTAATTTGATGACCTAAGAGTTTATCTGAGATATGATCTCTGTAGTTCCTCTGCGAGTTCGTATCATTGACAAAATATAGTTCAGAGCCAATAATCCTCTTGTTGTAGCACCTCTCTGTATACACAAGAAAAGACTACTGGATTCGAGAACTTTAAACTGGAACACTTTATGGTTGCCATAAAAAAAATTACGAGAAAGGTATTTCTCAGTAGTCCATCTTTCAGCTCTGAGAATGTGATGAATTTTCTAAACGCTGGTCCTCGACGTAGACGCAGCTATGGTCATCGTTATTATACGTCACCGTGTATTTAAGACGATTTTATTAATGATTTTCAGCCATTTATAAGCAATCCGTTGGTAATGTAGTACTAGTAAAAGTAATGTCATATGAAACGAATTTCTTGTGATAATAATAAAATGGAAATTTGGAAATCAATGCATACATATATTCTTACTTACTCCTCTATGCACGTTTTTCACATTTATTACAAATTATTGCATATTCAATGTGCGCAATGAATATACTACTACAGATTTGTTTTGTTTACTTCCTCCGTAGAATAATATAAACAACAAACAAATTGAAATTTTGAAATTTGGCTGATTATTTGTCATGGCATTTATTCAACAATATATACCAAAAACAACCAACATTAACAAACTGGCCAACAAGTTAAAACTTGATGACAATTGATCACTGAAGGGAAAACCAACAGTAAAATGCAAAACAATTTGTAGCTACTGGGCAGATCCATAACAGCTCAATGAACAATATTTAAATAGATCACTGCCAATTGAATCATGTTAATGATGACATCCAACGCAATTTCCATATTGAACTGAATGCCCTGATGATAGACATATTTTTCTTTATTTATTACTGCAAATCCTTGAATTTTCGGTTTTCATTGCATCTGCCGATGAATGTTGAAACTTCTGACATTTTTTATGATACATGACAATCTAATTGGAACATTCAATACATTTGGGTCTGTTCACCATGCAATCTGAAAAATAAACTAAAACAGCAGCAATTTTGTTTATTAAAGGGAGGGAGGGTGGTTTGTACTGTCTTGTTGAAAAATAATTGTAGAATGAAAATTGACCGGGAACACGTGTTTATATATGACAAAAGTCCACGAGGCGTTCAAAGCATATTCTTTCGTATGTTTAAATATATGGTTGTGTAAAGATTTAATGGCAAACCGTAAATAATGGACTGACTGTACATTTAAAACACAATAATAAAATACATGTATTTTCAATGCAATAAATAAATTTAATTATTAGATCATTAAATTTTATCATTGTATATTCAATGTGCGCAATGAATATACTACAACAGATTTCCTTCCTTCCTAGAATAATATAAACAACAAACAAATAGAAAATTTGAATTTGGCTGATTATTGGTCATGGCATTTATTCAACAATATTCAACAATATAAACTAAAAAACAACCAACATCAACAAACTGGCCAACAAGTTAAATCTTGATGACAATTGATTACTGAAGGGAAACCCAACAGTAAATGCAAAAACAATTTCTAGCTGCTGGGCAGATCCATACCAGCTCAATGAACTATATTTGGATAAATCACTGCCAAAATTGGCATTTTACTGAACTCTCAATCAAATGCTAGTCCGCCTTGAAAATGGAATAACCAACATATATTAAACTAGAATATAATCAACTAGTTGTTATGCATTTCAACATACAACATACATCAAATATAAACAAACAACATCGGATAAATAGAATTATTTGGTATATAATAAAATTGTTCTAAAGCAGTTTGAAAATGAGTTCAAAAATATATCATTGCCAATAAACGATAAATGGACTCCATCGTGACTAAATAAAGATTGATGTTTGTCTTCAAAATCAGAATGAACTATAGTGTAACCCCCAGTTTTATTTAAATGTGATTTAACTCCCCTCTTTATACGATTCCTGGTTACATCCATTGCTTTTAAATCTTTTGAATATCTCCCTTTCAACCTTGGTAAAATGCTTAAAAAAATGATTTTACTTCCGTTCACCAAACGTCCAACTATATTTAGCAAAAATTTAATATATAAAAAAAGTTATGCACAGTTAACATGTCCAATATCATTGCCACCACAGTGAAGCAAAACACTGGTAATCAAATTCTCCACTATTGGTACAACATTATATACTGACATACCAGACATTCCTGCCCACATCAACTTGTAACCTA